AAACGAACATACGTTACCTACCTTTAGATAACTTAGTAAACTCTCCCAACTTAAAGTTATTTAATACGTCAACTCTCTCACCTGACTCTATCACGTGTACTCTCGTGACAGAACCCAAAGTCATATTAAAATGGTAACAATAGGTTCAAGATAGTTTTATTAACAAAGCTTTTTTATTACTATACTTTTCACTATTGTTGTCTCAATTAGCACTCTGCATATAGATTATACAAGTATATAATACAAGAATAACAATATTATATAGACTATTTCAAGTCTATAATCAAAACTATACTAAAATTAAAGGATAATTATAAGATATTTAATAAGTGAATTTATTATTAAGAACTTGTTATGTTACTTTCTTATAATAAAGTTACTAATTAAACTTGTCTTTTTGCTATCAAATAAAATATTACTTATATATAAAATTGATTGTTGCAAAGATCTCTAAATATCTGTAATACTAAACAAGCAAAATTTCTATAGTTCTCAAGATTAATATTTCAAAATATCAACAATTCAATATTTCTAATAATCAACAATTCAAAATATTGAAGATTTAATATATCTATTATATTAATATACAATACATATAAATAATAAGTCCAAAAATAACTAACCAATAAAAATAAAAATAAATATTATTCAATAAAATATACTATACGAAGTGTCCAACAAAAATAAACTAAATAATTATCCAATAATATATAACAAACAAAATATACTATAATAGTACTATTATTTTCTTTCTTTATAACACTTCTTTTTACTTAAACTCTTACTTTTTCTTATTTTTAACCACTAAAATTACAATTAATTTTCTTTTATATTTTTTTGTTAATGAATTTGTATAATTTCTTAATATTTATACTTCTTTTGTATTATTAGTATTATTTGTAAATTATGATATAGTTTAAAGTAGTTATTAATTATATAAATTATATAAAAGATTGAAAATATATAAAAGAAGAATTTCTTGTCACTAAAAACTTTTATGTTTTAATCCTTTTATTTAATAAATAACAAATTTATTACTAGTAATATTTTATTTGTAAATACATTATTATTTTTATGGATTATCTTTAAATCTTGAAATTACAAATAATTAATACATCTTTATTCTAAATAAGTTGTTGATATTATTACTTTTGATTATTTTAGTTTTATTATTTTTAGGCAGTTTCAATAAGTCCTATTTGATTATTTTTAGTTATTTTTGTTTATATTTCATAATTGATATTTTCAATAAGTTCAATTATTATTTTATTTTATTTTATTAGACATTATCAATAAGTTCTGTTATTTATTTTGAAACTATTTGTTAATTTCTTTAATTTTTTTGCATTTTTACTTTATTTTTCTATTTATTTCTATTCTTTATTGATAATAATTAATTAATTTGTATACAAGCTATTACAGAAGATCTTTAGAATCTTTAGTAAATTTTATTAATTGTAATTTATTCAGTTTTTGTTCTTTTACTATTATATTACTTTGTTAATTCATAAATTTTAACAATTTTTAAATTAACGAAAACAGTATTATAATTTAGATATCAAAAAGATAATAATATATATTAAATATAATTGTATAATGGAATACAATATAAAAATAAAAGGACAAATTAATTTGATTATCATTGAGTTACATAATGTTACATTAATTTTCTTTGTAATTCATCTTAATTTTTGTTGATCAAAAATTAAGTAATTACAAACTTTTTAATGAGAATAATAACAATATTTATATTCTTTCTTTTACTTAAAGCTATATTTCATAAATTCTCCCACTTGATATAATAACACATGTTCTTCATGTATTCTTTTCATGACAAGACTTAAAATCATATAAAATAATAACAATATTTCATTTTTAATTTTCTTGTATCAGATTTGTTTTGCCAAGTTTATAAAAAATTTATGTATTGGTTAATCTAGAAGATCCAGTGTGCAGTTAACCAATCAGAACTTTGGGAAATTAGTAAATGCATTATCACGTGACCCGAAATTTCGTGGTCGCGGATTCGACAAATCGTGTGACTGTTGATCTATTATTATTATCTTTTTCACATTACTCTTCTTTTTGACAATTTGACATGTGCAAATGTCTTAGGTCTGCTCATGTCGCTTCTGTTATTGTACTTACTTACTATCGCTAATATATACTTAATTTATTAATAACAAGATCGCAAGCGAAAACAATCACTTACCTCAGGGAATCAAAAACGCGACAAACGGAACGAGTCTGTATCATCAAGTAAAACACCATGAAAATTATTGCGACAAACAGCAAAGAATTAGATGATCTTGATCGAAATTTCTAGACAAGAAAAATTAAGAAGGCTTGAACTGATTGATTGTGAATTTGAACACAAAAAAAGAGCTTTTAGCAATTGAAAAACGTAAATACATTTTGGATTGAATAATATTAAATAATAGTAACCGCTAGGGAAAATGAGATTCAAGGAAGTCACAGACACCAGTGTATATAATATATATATATCTAATAATATTATTTAATTAGCTTTCAGCGATCTTGTTCCTAATTCTTCAATTGGCCATTTAGGGATATGATTAATAGTGTAATCGTCAATTAATCCAACTCGATATCTTTCAATTCCTGTCCATGCAATCATTAAACCATTATCAGTGCATAAATGTGGGGGTGGGCATATTAGTTCAATATTGTATTTATCGTGCGCGATTTTTTCTAAGCTAAAAAGATTCAATAATGTAACAATGTCAGAATAAATATTTTTCTTATTTCTATTTTTTAACGAATAAAACACAAATCACCTTGTACGAATAGCTTTATTGCTTGCAACACCACCACTAGCAACCAATCCATTCAAAGCAAGATCTCGCTCCTTGCACCAATCAAAAGCCAAATTCAATTTATCGTTTAAATGTCGTATCGCAGTCGCTTGAAAAGCAGCAGCAACATCCCTCTTGACTTGCAAATCTTTCAGATCCAAATTTTCCTTTTCCAACAAAATGCTAATAGAAGTCTTTAATCCGCTAAAGCTCATATTAGGATTCTCTTTCGTCCGCTTCTCTTTTGTCATTGGAATTGGGACCTGATATCTATTTGCATCACCTGCGGTCGCGAACTCTTCTAATGCGGCACCGGGACCACCATTTCGACCTTTTAGCCATGAAAGGCCCAAAAGACGCGCTGTTTTGTCAAACGCTTCGCCGATTGCGTCGTCAAGAGTTGTGGCTAGTTGAGTATATTTGTTGATTCCATGTGCTAGTAGGATTAGAGTGTGACCACCAGAAATGAGTAGTACTAAAAAAGGAAACTTTAATTCTGGATTTGTGAGACGCGCTGTCAACGCATGAGCTTCCTAAGTAGATGAATGTAACTTTATTATTTAACTTATTTACAAATATAAACACGAAGTATATAGATATCTCTACCATATGATGAACGCCAATTAACGGTTTCCTAGTTAATCGGTGAAAATATCTGATTATTTATTAATGATAAAAAAATCAATCATCAATAAACTAAAGAAAAATACCCTAAGACAATAGCCAAAGTTTTTGCTGCATTCAATCCAACACTTAAACAAGGTGCTAATCCAGGACCTCTTGTAACGGCAATCACATCAATGTCACGCACCACATCCAACCGAGCGTTATCCAACGCATTTTTCACCACTTGCGGTAAGAAAGTTTGATGATATACCATTGCCAGAGTTGGCACCACCCCACCTTTTGGTTCATGAATCTCTTGTTGTAACTTAATTGCCTCACCGAGAATACTTCTATCCGATCGAATTATACCCACTGCTGTGTCATCACATGATGTTTCAATCCCAAGAACAGTAAATAATTCAACATCGTTTTTTGATTCCGATTTTATTGTAGTTGTCAATAAATTAGATTTAAATTTATTATGTTTCCCTATAAAAACATTTTTCACAAGTGGTGAAATTAATCGGATTGCTCCTTTTTTCGTAAATATCATGATTAATCTAAGTAATTATCCAAATGGCATTAAGCAAGTTATTTTCTTCAGCTTGTTGGCTGAGTAAGTTGAGGCACATTTCAAAAATTGATAATTTATCTTGTCGAAATTTATTATCACCAAGGACGCATCATTTCCGCATCTATTCAATACAAACTACGAAAAAATTCGGTAATATTCACAATATTAAAGATAGTACAGTTAACTCCCCCAACAAGCCAAAATTCGCTCCTGAACAAGAAGAGGAAGATAATTATAAAGAAAGTGCACTCTCTTGGATATACGAAAAACTTCCGACCAGTTTTGTTCCCTATGCTCAACTTGTTCGTCTTGATAAACCTACTGGTACCTGGTTGCTTTATCTTCCATGTGGTAAGTTTTAATTAAAATGGTATTCAGCGTTCTCATTTCAATTGTCTTGGAAAGATCATTCTCAGGAAATTTCATATGGTTTGATTCCAATTCGATTGATTTTAGTGAGAAATACTGCAATTTGGATTTCGATTTTTTTTTTACGAATCAATCTGTTAAAAAATCAGTTTTTATTTATTCCTTCACACATATAAAGCATGGAGTATATCAATGGCCTCCTATCACGCAAACTTACCCTTAAACCAAACAATATCAATGTTAGGTTTATTTGGGATTGGTGCCTTCGTGATGAGAGGTGCAGGATGCACCATAAATGATATGTGGGATAGTCACATTGATCGAATGGTAGAACGCACTAAAACACGACCACTCGCATCTGATAAAATCACTCAAATTGAAGCATTATCTTTTTTGGCTATTCAGTTATCCGCAGGCTTGTCTATTTTGACACGGTTGAATCTGTATAGGTACGAAATGTTATTTGTATAATATATTTGACATTAAATTCTAATATTTTATGTTATATCATAGCATATTTTTGGGTGCAACTTCACTAAGCTTAGTCGCCATATATCCATATATGAAACGTGTAACATTTTGGCCTCAACTATTTCTTGGTAGATAAATATAGATTTCTATTCTTGATAAATAATTTATAACTAATACAAATTTGAATGCATAAATATAGGATTTGCTTTCAATTGGGGAGCTTTACTAGGTTGGCCTGCTATGTTAGATAGCAGTGATTTTACCGTGACTTTGCCGTTGTATGCTAGTGGAGTTTGCTGGACCTTGATCTATGATACAATTTATGCGCACCAAGTAATTATAAGGATACTATTATTAATAAGAATTATATATATCAATAATAATAATTAGAAGCCACCATAAATCCATTTTAGGATAAAAAATACGATAAACTAGTCGATGTAAAGTCCACGGCACTTTTGTTTGGCTCTAACACACGAAAATGGTTATCCCTATTCTCCGGAGCAATGGTATCATTAGTCGCATTATCAGGCTATGCAAATGTTCAAGGATTACCATTTTATTTAATTTCTGTTGCTGGGTCTACTACACATTTATTTTGGATTGTGCACAAGACAGATTTTGATAAAGCTGAGGAGTGTGGACGAAAATTTAGGATGAGTAAGTGGACTGGTGGGGTTGTATGGTTGGGCATTTTGGTGGATGATATATGGAAAAGGGTGATGATGTGAAAGTATATTGAGAATGAAAACGTGAAAACAATGAAAATTAGTAGATAAGTTGATTGGGAATTAGTTTTTGAAAGTTATCAAATTATTTATTATACTTATATCGATATGATGTCATTTAATAATTTAATGAAAATCCATGCAAATATAAATATATTTGTATGCTTCACCTTTTTTTATCTTGATAATTCATTAGTTTGAGCCTTTATTCACGTTTTAATAATTGATACACTATAAATTGTTCAAAAAAAACATGATTAATACAATCAAATCTTCATATAATCACATTTAGTTACATAATTTGAAAGTGTGATTGTAAATAGATTGTGACTATAGAAATTTTTTAATTTTATTGTTATTTCCACATCAAAATAATACTTTAAATATCTTGAATATCAATATACAAAATAATATACAAGCACTTATCAATTAATTCATGAAAGAATCAAAAATAGTTAGTATTTTTAACTTTAGTAAAGAAAATCAAGATTCCATTAGTTGATTAAAAGAATTTATTAGAATATGTGATATCTAATATTTCAACCAGATCAAATTCAATTTGTGATTTGATCCAGAATACATATTTCAGATCAGCCTAAAAAATATTATTTTTTGCTTTAATATTAATTGGAATTAACAAAAATTTGTGAATATACAATCAAATTTCTTTATAATTATCATTATCAGGAAAATTTGGTGATTATAGAGAGGATGTGACTATAAAGGAATTTTTTATTATATTTATATATAAATAGAAAAGTAAATAAAATAATTATAGAAGTGTGTAATTATAAATAGGTATGACTATAGAAAAATTTGATTGTATATACAATTATATTTTGAATAACTTTACTTAAACACAAAATACAAGTATCTTAATAAAAAATAAAAGTTATTAACAAAAAATTATTTTATGATTTTTGGATCAAATCTGATTTGAATCTGATCAAATTTGAAATTATTAGTTCAGATTGATCTTAAATCTAATTTGATTTAAACAGAGCTTTAATAATGTTAATGAGACAAATAATATCAGAAAATTACTAGTAATATCTACTTATTTAAAAGGATCAATATTTATTTAATAAACAATAAATCAAGTATTAGCAGTTGAAAATATAAATAGAATAGTTTAATAAATTGGAAATAATAATAACACTGACTTCAAATATAACTTTGTAAATATCTTTCATATAATAACTTTAATTGAAATTTGGATAATTGAATTTGATCATGTGGAATGAGCAAGTGAACAAATAAACAAATAAGTAAATAAACAAGTAAATGAATAAGCAAATAGAATTTAAGTTAGCAAATGAACATGAATTTGTATATTAGCTCAGTTATAGTTTGGATATATATTAAAATAATATGTATTATAGTTATTAGAATTAGATTAGAACAAGTTTTTAATAATAATAATTATCTTATAGTTAGTTATCTTTCATTTTTAATCATTCAAAAAAGTTCAATTTGTACTTTATATAAAATAAATAGTCAAGTATAAATTTTTTTCTATATCTTCTTTAACAAAGTATATTCTTGTTTCTTGTATAATTATTTTAACATATTTGCTATAAGTATTATATAGTTCTTAAATAAAAAAAATTATTATTAATCTTATTCTAATTGCAAAGTTATATTAGAGTTATTGTGAAAGAGCATGATAAAAAATGGATTATGATGAAAATTTGCAATATCTATTATAATAAATTATGAATAATAATTATATTTATAAATTTATATAGTATATAGCAATATAAATATTATTGCAAAATTAATTTAAGTTATATATTTATTATTATTTTCAAAATATTATTCTTTTATTATAAGAAATTATCAATAATTCTGATCAAATGATCTTATAATTTGCGCAATTTTAATCAACATTTTTACTATAATTCATTTTATATTATGATCTTTTACAGTTATTAGTTTTATAATCTCTTATTTTAATTGTGAAATTATATTAAAATTATTAGTTTTATAATCTCTTATCTTAACTACGAAGTTATATTAAAATTATTAGTTTCATAATCTTTCATCTTAATTCTAAAGTTATATTTGAATAAAAAATTATTAGTATAATTTATAAATTTATCTTTAAATTGTATTTGTTAAATATAAATATTACCTTTATATCTTTAACTTTGAAATTTTGAGAATACTTTCTAGTTGTTCAGATTATTGCGTTAAAGAATATAACTATTATTAACTTTTAAGTAATTTTGTTATTAGTACTTTTAGTACTTATTTGTATTCAGTCTAATAATCATAAAATATTTTAAATTATCTTTAAAATATTAGAAGTTTCTCCTTGAATATTTCATTAAGTATTTCAAAAATCAATTAAAATAATAACAAAAGTTTGGTGCTCTCTTTCTGTAAATTAAAATTATAAAGTTCTATTACAAAAAACAATTATTAGATTCTTTAAGGATCAAAATTTAAAAGTATTATTATAAAGTTTTATTATAAAAGAATAATTATTAGTTTTTTTGTAAATAAAAATTTTAAATATATAAAGTAAATTGAATTAAAGAATATTGAGTAAAAGATTCTTGAGTGAAATAAAGAAATTTTAATCAAATATTTATCAAAAAGAATCCTTTGTGAATAAACAAAGCTATTAACTATATCTTCTTTAATTTTTCAAACCAAATTCAATATAATCAACTAATATTAAAATAAATCAAGTATTTCAAGAATTATGAAGAAAAATAGAGTTAAAAACAAATCTCAATAAAAAATAATTAAAAAAAATAAAAAATTAATTAATAGAAATCTTCAATAAAATTTATATTGCTACCATTTCTAGTTCTTACGTATGAGAATATTTAGAAATGGTTAACAGCGACTGTGTTCATGGCAGATTTTAAATAAGAGAGATATAAATGACAAAAGTGGATGGTTGATAATAATAAACTAACAAGAATACGAGTAT